CCTTTCGCTCTATGGTCAGGGAATGCAAGATTAAGGAGGTCTCAGTTGTGGGAACAAAATGTCATGGGCAGGCTCACGGGAGGTGATTAAAGCTGATGGTACAAAGGAAACTGTTTGGATCCAGTGTTGCCTTGATCGGTCTTTTGCAAACTTTGCCTGGTTTCAACAGTTCCCACGAACACAAACAGAATTCTTAGCGCATTATGAATCAGATCATCGGCCACTTGTTACCAGATTGCATTCAAAAGTAGAAGGCCGAGTGGGGCGTTTTTGGTTTGATAAGCGATGGTGTGGGAAACAAGACTTTCCGGAAGTCGTGATGCGAGGATGGAATGCAAATGCACATTAAGGTTCTCAGTCGGTTTTAGAGAGGATTTCTGATTGTAGAAAAGAGATCTCTATGTGGAAACGTTCTTCAAATCTGAACTCCAAAGAGAAGTGAAAGGAATGTCGGCACGAGTTAGATGTTGAATCTTCGAAAGTCTCCCCTAACTTTCCTAGAATGCTTGATTTGAAAATTGAGTTACAAAAACTGTCTAACGAGGAAGAAAAGTATTGGCAGTCATGTTGTAAAGAGAAATGGATGGTTTTTGGCGATAAGAATACAAAATTTTTTCATGGAAATGTGCAAACACAACGATTAAAGAACCAGATTGTGTCTTTGTTTGATGAGCAATGAACTGAACAGTTTGAGGAGAATGCCAAAGGAAACATTGCGGTTCAATATTTTCAGAAGCTTTTCCTTACCTCGTCCACGGTTGATACAAATGAATTGCTAAATGGGTTTCAACAAAGAGTAACAGCAAAAATGAACAGAGACTTGATTAAGATGTGGAGATACACAGACCTGTTAAGGCGATCAAAGGGGATAGTGCTCCAGGTTTTGATGGTATGAGTGGCAAATTCTTTCAAACATATTGGAAAACAATTGGCCCAGAAGTTGTTATTGAAGTCAAGAGATTTTTTGAAACGTCATGGTTTCCAGAAGAGTGGAATCACACTCAT